TCTCTGGTCTCTCTCTGGTCTCTCTCTGGTCTTTCTCTCTGGTCTCTCTCTGGTCTCTCTCTCTGGTCTCTCTCTCTGGTCTCTCTCTCTGGTCTCTCTCTGGTCTCTCTCTCTGGTCTCTCTACAAAGATATTCTGAATGAACCATTGATGTGTGGCTTCTTTTGCTTTTGCCATTCAATCACATCATAATTTCCGGTAATGTTATTTGTATTGGACGCACACTGGACGCACACTGGACGCACACTGGACGCACACTGGACAGCTCCTAATGAACAATAGTGGTCCGAGCATCGAACCCTGGGGAACCCCTTTTTCCACCATCTCTTCAGAATGACCATTTAAACAGCCTCTCCTCCTGTGTCGCAGTTCCTGAAGCAGATGTACGTCCTGGTCTTGGGTCTGGACGTCCTGGGGAACCCTTTTGGACTGATCCGCGGTCTCTCTGAAGGCGTGGAGGCCTTCTTCTACGAGCCAATCCAGGTACGACACCAGGAATCATTTTAAGTCGTTTGAGGGTTCTGGTAATCATTCATCCAAGGCCCTATTTAATCTCTGTATTCATTACTATTGTGTACGTTTGAACTCCTTTGAGCCACTGTTTACTTTGTCTAACTATGGATTGGATTTCGTCTCTATTCTTTTATTGATATGTGACATCAATCATGCTTCTGTTTGACATGTGGCCATCTCTGAATGTAAATATAAATGTACCAATAATGAGGCAGAACCTGAGATAATAGTATGAATGAGTTATTAAATTATTAGTATTTATAGTAATTGTATTTAAAACATATCAAAAATGTACCGTTAGTGACTTTTACTGAATTGTGTTGACTTCAGAGTTCCCTGTTTCGAGGTAAGTATCATATCAGCAAACTCCAGGACACCGAGCCTCACGAGCTCTTACCAAAATGGTCAAAATCATGTTGTTTTGACTCTGTGGTCCCAGGGCGCGGTGCAGGGTCCAGAGGAGTTCGCTGAAGGGTTGGTGATCGGAGTGCGCAGTCTCCTCGGACACACTGTCGGTGAGTCCAGACTCTCCTCAAAATATGGATCAGTTCCGATCATTGTCTCTGTCTTTCTCTTTCTGTTTAGGTCCATTTCTGTACGTTTACTTTGGTGCAATCTCCGGGCGTAGATAATATAACTATAAATCACTATTCAGGACTAAAAAAGCTCATACTCACCCTTTAGGATAAAATTAAACCATTTAAACTTGAATAGATTCTCCCTCTGGTCTCTCTCTGGTCTCTCTCTCTGGTCACTCTCTCTGGTCTCTCTCTGGTCTCTCTCTCTGGTCACTCTCTCTGGTCTCCCTCTGGTCTCTCCCTCTGGTCTCTCCCTCTGGTCTCTCTCTGGTCACTCTCTCTGGTCTCTCTCTGGTCTCTCTCTGGTCCCTCTCTCTGGTCTCTCTCTGGTCTCTCTCTGGTCCCTCTCTCTGGTCTCCCTCTGGTCTCTCTCTCTGGTCTCTCTCTGGTCCCTCTCTCTGGTCTCCCTCTAGTCTCTCTCTCTGGTCTCTCTCTGGTCCCTCTCTCTGGTCTCCCTCTGGTCTCTCTCTCTGGTCTCTCTCTGGTCCTCTTGTCTCTCTCTCTTGTCTCTCTCTCTGGTCTCTCTCTCTGGTCTCTCTGGTAACCCTGTAGATGCTGTGGTTGGCCCACAGGTGGCGCTGCAGGGATGGTGTCTAAGATCACTGGCTCCGTGGGGAAGGGTCTGGCCGCCATCACCATGGACAAAGAGTATCAGCAGAAACGGCGAGAGGAAATGAACCGTCCGCCCAAAGACTTTGGAGAGAGCCTGGCCAAAGGCGGGAAGGGACTCCTGAAGGTCACTAACCAGATCCATTATTCAGATTCATTTTATTTACTATTTACAGTAAAACCACTTTGGAATACACACACAAAAGTCCCCTTTGTCTCTGTGAAATTGATCAAACTAAAACAGTTTAAATACAAGCGAAGATCATTTCTCTGTTCTCTGTTTACACTGAAATCAGCTGAAAGAAGCTGAAACCAGATGTCCTGCATCTCAGTGAACAATGGGCCTCATTCACGAATAACTTCGTAAGAAACTTCTTAAATTTCGTCTCAAGTCGTTCTTAAGTAGATTTCTAAGAAGACCCCACGTGGGATTCATCAACGCACTCGTAAGCCGCTGAATTGTTCGCAGCTGTTCTCTCAGATTGATGAATGCCAACTCCTCGTAAGTAGAGCGCGCGTGCCCGGTGCTTCATTAGCATAGGTACTTAGCATAGGTAACCGCCCACTAATGCCCATATAAGGGACTGAAGGGCCGTGTGCAGACGCCAGAGGAAACAGCAACAGGCCTAAAGCAAAGAGTTACAGTACACGGAGCAAAAGAGTCACCCTTTTTTCTTCTTTAGCCAGACTGAGAATAAAGTTATAAAATGTTGACTTAAAAGTCGAAATTTTATAAGAATAAAGTCGAACTAGCAAAATTATGAGATTAATCTAAAAATATGATGAGATTAATCTCAAAATGCTATGAGATAAATTTAAAAATGTATTATGTATTAATTTAAAAATGAATCTCAAAATGTTTTGAGATTAATCTAAAAATATTTTGGACCCTGGGAGGAGATCCAGCGCGGACCAGCGCTGAGACCAATGCAGACCCGAGGAGAGACTGGAGTGACCAGCACACAGAAACCAGCGCGGACAGGAGAGACCGCATAGACTGAGAGACCTGACTGAAGAAGAGAGACCGCATAGACCAGACTGGAGAGACCAGCGCGGACCGAAGAGAGACCGCAAACCAGACTGGAGAGACCAGCGCGGACCCGTTTGGATCCAGGAGCATGCAGCACAGACCCGTATGGAGAGACCAGTGCAGACCCGTCTAGATCCATGGGAGAGACCAGCGTAGACCCGTATAGATCCATAGGAGAGACCAGTGCAGACCCGTATACTGTAGATCCATAGGAGAGACCAGTGCAGACCTGTATAGATCCATGGGAGAGACCAGCGCAGAGACTCAGAGCGGACCCAGTAACCTCCTGCAGCAGCAGTATATATTGCATTGTTCTGTGGCCCGTGGATAAAGAAATGCCCCCTATAAATAGGATGGGGTCACTAATACACGGCATGATTTCCAATGTATTTGATAAAGCGTTGGCACATTTCATTTCAAAATGAATAAAAAAATAGGCTAAATTACCATTAACATTTAAATAAATAAATACATACATCAATATGACGGACATATCACTGGAATGTTGTATTTTTATTAAACTTCACCAAAGAGGACAACCCCGGCGTGTGAACATGTCGGCACTGAATGCGTACGAGTGCTCCTGAGGACTCTTAGGATTTGTACTTGCCCAAGAGAAATTCTGGTTACGAGAAAAATTTGTGAATGCCACTTTCTTCGTAAAAACCTCGTAAGTAGGATTTACGTACAAATCTGTTCCTAAGAACTGTTCGTGAATGAGGCCCAATATCTTCTGCCAGAGGGAAGAAGCTGGAACATGGCTTTTCCAGGGGCGAGAAGAGTCATTGATTTTTCTAACCTTCAGAACAGACAGATCACAGTCCTCTCGGAGAGGAGCACCTCTCTCTGGTCTCTCTCTGGTCTCTTTCTCTCTCTCTGGCCTCTCTCTTGCTGGTCTCTCTCTGGCCTCTCTCTTGCTGGTCTCTCTTTGGTCTCTCTCTGGTCTCCCTCTTGTCTCTCTCTCGCTGGTCTCTCGCTGGTGTCTCTCTCTTGAAGCTCTCCTTTATATCTTTTTATAATGAACAGTAGCTGATTATGATGGTGTTCTTCCTCAGGGCATGGTGGGAGGAGTCACTGGCATCGTCACTAAACCAATGGAAGGTAAGATCTGTGGCGAAAGTAAACTCCAGCTCAGTTTATGTCGCACACTATTTTAGGCTTAAATCTGTGGTTTAGTTTCTGTGATCCAGGTGTTTATACTGTCTTTGTAGATCCAGATATGAGCCACATAAGGACTGACCAATCAGAGGCCTTCATTCACAGTGGAAACTCCAGCTTGCCTTTGCAACCGCCTTAGCAACCGCCTTAGCAACCGTCTTAGGAACTGTCTTAGCAACTGCCTTAGCAACTGTTTTAGGAACTGTCTTAGCAACCGCCTTAGAAACCGCCTTAGAAACCGCCTTAGAAACCGACTTAGCTACCGCCTTAGCAACTGTCTTAGCAACCGCCTTAGCAGCCGTCCTAGAAACTCTTAGCAACTGTCTTTGCAACCGCCTTAGCAACTATCTTAGCAACAGCCTTAGCAAACGTCCTAGAAACTGTCTTAGCAACTGTCTCAGCAACCGCCTTAGCAACCGCCTTAGAAACTGTCTTAGGAACTGTCTTAGGAACTGTCTTAGGAACTGTCTTAGGAACTGTCTTAGGAACTGTCTTAGGAACTGTCTTAGGAACTGTCTTAGGAACTGTCTTAGGAACTGTCTTAGTAACTGTCTTAGGAACTGTCTTAAGAACTGTCTTAGCAACCGTCTTAGCAACCGTCTTAGCAACCGTCTTAGCAACCGTCTTAGCAACCGTCTTAGCAACCGTCTTAGCAACCGTCTTAGCAACCGTCTTAGCAACCGTCTTAGCAACCGCCTTAGCAACCGCCTTAGCAACCGCCTTAGCAACTGCTTTAGCAACTGTCTTAGCAACTGTCTTAGCAACTGTCTTAGCAACTGTCTTAGCAACTGTCTTAGCAACTGTCTTAGCAACTGTCTTAGCAACTGTCTTAGTAACCGCCTTAGCAACTGTCTTAGCAACTGTCTAAGCAACCGTCTTAGCAACCGCCTTAGCAACTGTCTTAGCAACCGTCTTAGCAACTGTCTTAGCAACTGTCTTAGCAACCGTCTTAGCAACCGCCTTAGCAACCGCCTTAGCAACCGTCTTAGCAACCGCCTTAGCAACCGCCTTAGCAACTGTCTAAGCAACACGTCTCCCCCTGCTAGCATGAAGCTAACCCTGTCTTAAACCCTGAGTTCCAGCTGCAGCATGACCGTCATTTAGGCCTGAAACAAACATCTGTTTTATGTCCGATCAACTTTATTTACATAGCACATAAGTAAAGTGTAGAATCTCTTTGGTCACTGCTGTGTTTTTACTTCAAAAAACTTGTTTAAATCTGAACGTCTGCAGGGGCAAAGAAGGAGGGCGCGGCCGGCTTCTTCAAGGGCATCGGCAAAGGTCTGGTGGGGGTCGTGGCCCGTCCCACCGGGGGCATTGTGGACATGGCCAGCAGCACCTTCCAAGGCATTCAGAGGTAACGGGTCTGGGTCAGGGATCGGGTCTGGGTCCGGGTCTGGGTCCGGGTCCATGTCTGGGTGTGGGTCCAAGTCTGGGTGTGGGTGTGGGTCTCCTAATGTGCTATGTGTGTATGTTTAGGTGATGTGTTCATATGGTTTTGACAAAAGGCCTCTCCAGTCACAGACCTGCAGCTGTGTTTAGCTCCATCCCTGCTCCTTCTGTCTAAATGCTGTGTTTTTAAACTTGTTACTCTGTGGTGAACCCTCAGACTCTGACTTCATGGCCAGAACGGTTTTGTCAATTTCTACAGTCCCTTCAACATTAGAGTGGTACAGGGATGCAGTGGTTTTCCTCCTGTGCTCCAGTTTCCCCTACTGGTCTCTGTATTTTAAGACAGTAAAAGTTGCTTCTTGCCACTTTGCTAAAACTACTTCCACATACTGTTTAGCATTTTCCGTCAAGCAGTTCCGCGGCCGCCCTGGGTCATGCTGTTATGATTTGAGTGTGAGAAATAAAGCCAGAGCCGGTGTTACGGCTGCAGTTGGAAGAGTCTCTTGTTTGTGTGCTCAGTGTTAAACACATTTCCAATACTATTTAAACCCCTTCTGTTGCACTACGATGGATTTAGTCCTAAATAACGGGCAGATTTGTTCCTTTACTCCTTCCATAAACACTGAGACCGTTCCTGAGGCTGTCGGTGCGATCGCCGATGTGTGAATTGAACTCGCTAACCTTGTGTTGTTTTGGGCGGCATGGTGGCTGAGTGGTTAGCAGTCTCGCTTCTCAGCAAGAAGGTCCTGGGTTCGAATCCCGGTCGGAACAGGGCTTTTCTGAGTGGAGTTTGCATGTTCTCCCCGTGTCTGCATAGGTTTCATCCGGGTGCTCCGGTTTCCCCTACCACTAAAAACATGTACAATAGGTCTGTGCCTCCTGTACTGACCCCTCCCATCTCTGTGGCGTGAGACACATGCTGACAGTTGTGACTCTGGTCTGTGAAAGGCGCTACATAAATAAACATTACTTAAATGATTTATAACCAGCCTTTGACGACGGCTCTGACAAGGGTTGGGACTGGGTTTTTTGGATTCATATAATTACACTAATAAAAATATAAACTTTGAAAAACTGTAAAGAAATTATACAGGAAGGTAGCTAACATTTTAGTTAAGGATAAGACCCTTTATTCGTCCCACAGTGGGGAAATTTCAGTGTTGCAGCGCACAGACAGGACAGTAGTAAGAGACACAGATAGCTTACAAAGTAAGTAGCTGCTGTGTTTCTTAGCTAACTGTAAATGCTTCATAACCAGTTTTTCATAATGTTTTCTGTACATTTAGGGACAATAAGTATAAAGTGACATTCTGAAATGGCAGTATTATTTACAGATGAAGCAGTATTATTTACAGATGAAGCAGTATTATTTACAGATGAAGCAGTATTATTTACAGATGAAGCAGTATTATTTACAGATGAATGACATGTCCAGACTCAGCAGTTCTCATTGTACAGTCTGACAGCAGCAGGAAGAATAGACATGCGGAACCTCTCCTTCACACAGCAAGGGTGAATTAGTCTGTCACTGAAGCTGCTCTCCAGTTTGCCAACAGTTTGGCAGTTTACAAACTTCAAAGGATTCAGAGTGAAATTAGAACAACAAATGTTATTCTCGTGTATATTTACATAAACTTTAAGGCTATAGCTTTAAAGGTTTAGCTATAAGTTTTAAAGGTTCTCTGTGGAGTGCACAAAGACGGGACCAAACCTTGTCAGACCGAAACAGAAATATACTAGTGTAAGAGGCTAAACACAGCTGCAGGTCTGTGACAAAGGTCCTGTTGGATCCAGACCCAGATGATCACATCCCACACGTCTCTGTAAAGTCTGTTTTCTTCTAATTTTCTGCTTTTGTTTCTGTCTCATGTCGTGGGATTATGTTGTTGTCTTTGTGGTGTGTGAGTATGTTTCAGTGTCTACGTCTGAGCTCCTGCAGCACACGCTCATAAACGCCCTGTTTCCACCAGACCTACCTTACACAGGCCTGCCCTACCCTACCCAGGCCTGCCCTACCTTACCCTAACCCTACAAAAGGTCCTCCCTCTTGGTCCTGGTTCTTTCCAGGCTGAGCTGGTACAAAAGTTTGACATTGATTGGCCAGAGTGCTGCTGGGAGCCATGGTTACCCACATCTCTGCTCTCTCTGGTCTCTCTCTGGTCTCTCTTGGGTCTCTCTTGGGTCTCTCTCTGGTCTCTCTCTGGTCTCTCTCTGGTCTCTCTCTGGTCTCTCTCTGGTCTCTCTTGGGTCTCTCTTGGGTCTCTCTTGGGTCTCTCTCTGGTCTCTCTCTGGTCTCTCTCTGGTCTCTCTCTGGTCTCTCGCTGGTCTCTCGCTGGTCTCTCGCTGGTCTCTCTCTGGTCTCTCTCTGGTCTCACTCTGGTCTCTCGCTGGTCTCTCTCTGGTCTCTCTCTGGTCTCACTCTGGTCTCTCGCTGGTCTCTCTGGTCTCTCTCTGGTCTCTCTGCTCTCTCACGGGTCTCTCTCTGCTCTCTCTCTGGTCTCTCTCTCTGGTCTCTCTCTCTGGTCTCTCTCTCTGGTCTCTCTCGGGTCTCTCTTGGGTCTCTCTTGGGTCTCTCTCGGGTCTCTGGTCTCACTGAGGTGTGGTGCAGGAGCTCAGTCTGTCGTGGTCCATTTTCTGCTTGTGCATGTAGTGAATGTGGTGCAGACACAGGTGAGTTTCTGCATTTTGTTCTGATCCAAACTTCCCCCATGAGCCTGTTCCCGATGGTTTGATGCAGCATTTGCAAAAGGAAAAGGCTTTGCTCCAATGTTTCTTTTCATTTGGAGATTGTGAGTGTCCTTAGGTTAAAGAAAAGGCTGGATATAGATGGACGATGCTAACCCCAGTCTCTCGCATGGTGCCGTGGCAGCAGCTCTGGTGTGTGCTTCTGGTGCACACTGGGGGAGTCTTGCACAGTTTTTCCAATATGGTTTTACTGCAAATGGCAAATCAATTCTTGAATCTTGAATGAATGAACCCCTAACCCTTGAATGTTGAATGAATGAAGCCAAATATGGCTCTGGCTCCTTTTGACTCCATCTAAAAGTAAGACCATGCGTCACATTTGTCATGTTGAGATTAAGAATCTGGGATTTAGAGTTCTTTGTGATTCCACCGTTTGTATTGTCATGAATCCAGACAAAAACCCCAGAGGGCGGCAGTGAGAATTGGCTCCTGTGGACTCACAGGATCAGTGAGGGTCTGGTGCTCTGTGGACTGGGTGCAGCTCTGACTGCCACCCCCCCCGACCCAGAAATGGATTAAGCGGAAGAAAATTGATGAATCCAGATATGAGTTTTGAGAACTTACCGCTCAGGGCTGTATTTACAGGGGAAACGTCCCTTAGCAACCATCCTAAGCCTATTACGGCACAAAGCTATTGTTGCCAGCTAAAGCTAACGTCGCCAGCTAACGTCGCCAGCTTCTTCCGCATTCAGGCTAACGCTCTGATGATGTCACACCTGCTCAGTCCACTCCTAACACTCGGATAGATCCTGAGAGAGTTGGTGTTTGTGGCAGTCTGAGATGCTGCATGATTCAGGACGAGTGATCTCACATGTGATGATGTCATCCCCTCATCACCACGGAGCGTGACGAGGGACTAGAGAGAGCATCGGCCAAACGTGCACAGGACTGAGGTCTCGTGCACTAATGAAGTATTCTTGGCCCCATGAAGTGTAGAGTACTTTGGAACACACATGGTTAGGTAGTTTTAAAAAGAGCCTATAATGTCACATGGTGTGGGAGGGCAGCTGCAGCATCTCTCCTGGTAACCATGGTAACATCCTAGTTTTAGTTCAAAGATCATTTCACTGTATTTCCTGGTACATTTTCCACAGCACGTACCAACTGTAGTCTCTCTCACTCTCTCTCGCCCTTTCTCTCTCACACTCTTTCACTCACTCTCTCTCACACACCCTCTTACACTCACCCTCACTCTCTCTCTCTCACCCTCACTCTCTCACACTCACTCTCTCACACTCTCACACTCACTCTCTCACACTCACTCTCTCACACTCACCCTCACTCTCTCTCACTCACCCTCACTCTCTCACACTCACCCTCACTCTCTCACACTCACTCTCTCACACTCACTCTCTCACACTCACCCTCACTCTCTCACACTCACCCTCACTCTCTCACACTCACCCTCACTCTCTCTCACTCACCCTCACTCTCTCACACTCACCCTCACTCTCTCACACTCACCCTCACTCTCTCTCACTCACCCTCACTCTCTCACACTCACTCTCTCACACTCACTCTCTCACACTCACCCTCACTCTCTCACACTCACTCACTCTCACTCACCCTCACTCTCTCACACTCACTCTCTCACACTCACCCTCACTCACCCTCACTCTCTCACACTCACTCTCTCACCCTCACTCTCTCACACTCACCCTCACTCACCCTCACTCTCTCACACTCACTCTCTCACACTCACTCTCTCACACACCCTCTTACACTCACCCTCACTCCCTCACTTCCCCTCACTCTCTCAATCACTCACTCACTCACTCTCTCACACTCATCCTCACTCTCACAATCTCTCTTACTCACAATTTCTCAAAATATATACTATAAATACAGTATATACTATAAATACTAATTTAAGTCCAAACAATAGAAGCACAGTGAGTGGAGGACTAGTCGCTCGGTCTGTGGTCAGAAACCTGCTCTCTCTAGGACCTGCTCTAGCTCCGCCCCTGAGTCACATGACCCTATATAACTGCTGCTGTCTTACATGCTCCCTCTAGAGGTGAAAGGTGAGAACAGCATCTTGTTGTGGAAGTTTCTGCATGAGGCTCCAGAGGAACAGAACGAGACTGACAATATGAAAGAGTTGAAACTTTGAAATGTCCTTTATGTTGTGCGTGAATCTGGTCTCTCTTTGGTCTCTCTCTAGTCTCTCTCTGGTCTCTCTCTGGTCTCTCTCTCTCTGGTCTCTCTCTCTGGCCTCTCTCTGGTCTCTCTCTGGTCTCTCTCTGGTGTCTCTCTGGTGTCTCTCTAGACTCTCTCTGGTCTCTCTCTGGTCTCTCTCTGGTCTCTCTCTCTGGTCTATCTCTGGTCTCTCTCTGGTCTCTCTCTGGTCTCTCTCTCTGGTCTCTCTCTGGTCTCTCTCTGGTCTCTCTCTGGTCTCTCTCTGGTCTCTCTCTGGTCTCTCTCTGGTCTGATCCTGTTGTAATACCATGGTCTCCTCCTCAGAGCTGCAGAGTCCACAGAGGAGGTCACTAAACTGCGTCCAGTTCGTCTGATCAGAGAAGACGGGATCATCAGGCCCTACGACCGCGAGGAGTCCAAGGGCTTCGACTTCTTCCAGGTTTGAACTGGACCAGAGGGAGAGAGACCAGAGGGAGGGAGACCAGAGGGAGGGAGACCAGAGAGAGGGAGACCAGAGAGAGGGAGACCAGAGAGAGGGAGACCAGAGAGAGGGAGACCAGAGAGAGGGAGACCAGAGAGAGGGAGACCAGAGAGAGGGAGACCAGAGAGAGAGACACAACTGACATCACACTCTGAGCCGTTTTCTGTCTTTAAAAGCAAAAGAATTGCCCATAAATGAATGTCTCGGGTCAAATGAGATTCTTTACAATCATATGTCTTAGCTCCCTCTGGTGGCAGCAGAGGGAGCTACAGGCGAAAATCACTTTTACTCTTCATTCTTGTTAACTATATATTTTCTACAGAAGATAGTATTTCACATTCTAAAACATGACAAAGTAAAGTCTCATTTTTGTTTTAGTCCCAACAATTAAGCATGATATTTCATCTTAAGTGAATGTGAAATAGTATAATTTTGCTCTGCTCTTACTAACCTTCTCACCCTCTCTCACCCTTCCCCTTTCTCACCCTCTCCCCTCTCTCACCCTCTCCCCTTTCTCACCCTCTCCCCTCTCCCCCACTCCCCTCTCTCGCTGCAGCCTGATCAGGACTGAACGCCTCACCTCTTCTGCTTCTGTCCAGGATGACTATGTAGATTGATATGCAACTTTTGTCTCATGAATAACATATTTAAAGCTGGGGTATCTAACTTTTGTCTCATGAATAACATATTTAAAGCTGGGGTACCTAACTTTTGTCTCATGAATAACATATTTAAAGCTGGGGTACCTAACTTGTCACATAAATACAGCAAAAACATATTTAGTCAGTCCCCGATTGTCCTTCTTCAAAAGATGAGAGATGTCTGTGTATGAAGCCTAGCGTACATCGACAGAGAAACTGGAGACGACTAGTTTCAAGGCGGCTTTTGGCAACTGAGAGGAGATGATGGAGATGATCAGTTGCCGAAATCGGTCGATGTGAGCGCTCTTACAACTGGAGATAAACAGTCGGTCTCCAGTTTCAGTCAGTTGCCCGTGTTCTACTTTTCGGCAACTAGTTGTCCTCAGTTGCTCCGATGTGCGCGCTCCATGCGCCGCTCCGACAACGTGTGTGTATTGCGTGTATTGCGAGCCCGCAACAGTTTATGTCAGAAAACACACTGTAGTTGAGGCCAGTTGCTGTCGATGTACGCGCTGTTATTCCCCAGACTGGCTTGCTACTGGGAGTTGCCAGTTTTCGTCAGATTGTCGATGTGTGCGGGGCAGGAACTCATATGCGACGGATATAATCAGTTGCCAGTCCGATGTACGCTAGGCATTAGATTCACCTCAATTATGACAAAATAAGAAAAAGGTTTTTGGACTTTCAGCTCCGTCCTGGTCACTTTGTAGAAAAACAGCCCCAAAGCATGATGTTACCACCCCCATGCTACACAGTAGGTTTGGTGTTCTCTGGACACAGTGCAAGACGTGTCCAGGCCAGAAGAGGAGGAGGGTCCAGAGGAGGGTCCAGAGTGGGGTCCAGAGTGGGGTCCAGAGTGGGGTCCAGAGTGGGGTCCAGAGTGGGGTCCAGAGTGGGGTCCAGAGTGGGGTCCAGAGTGGGGTCCAGAGGAGGGTCCAGAGTGGGGTCCAGAGTGGGGTCCAGAGTGGGGTCCAGAGGAGGGTTGGGAGAACGTTGTGTGGTCAGATGAAACCAAATCCGAACTCTCTGATAAAAAGTAAAACTCGTGTTTGGAGCAGAGTCCAGACAAAGATCAAAGGCTTCTCTCATCTTCTCTAAAGGTGTCAGACTAAATACTGTTGCCACTGTCTTCTTTATATTTATATATATATTTATTTATATATATTAAAATGATGAATGTCTTGTTCTCAGTGTTTGCATCTTTTTAGAATAATAATAATTATAATAATAATATTATTATGTGTTTCTGGTGCAGACTAAACTCCTAAACTTGACGCACGTCCAAATCTTTTCAGACTTAGATTTATTTTTCCACTAAATGACATCTTTTATTTTTACACTAAATGACATCTTTTATTTTTACACTAAATGACATCTTTTATTTTTACACTAAATGACATCTTTTATTTTTACACTAAATGACATCTTTTATTTTTACACTAAATGACATCTTTTATTTTTACACTAAATGACATCTTTTATTTTTACACTAAATGACATCTTTTATTTTTACACTAAATGACATCTTTTATTTTTATAGTGTTTTTTTTATTTGACCAAAGTTGATTTTAAGATTTTTTTCTCTCAATACATGTGTAAAGTTGTCATTTACTTCTGTGTAAATAAATTCTATTAATATAATAAACTCTTCTGGGTCAAATGGTGCAGACAGGTTTGGAAATCTATATATTTTAATTAAACTTGCACATTTTACTGTTATTCTAGAGCTGTGTGTGTGTTACACTAATGACAAACTGGGGACCGACCGAATAAATCCGATTTAGGAGTTTCACAAGGATCAGGAATCACTCTGGTCTCTCTCTGGTCTCTCTCTCCGGTCTCTCTGGTCTCTCTCCGGTCTCTCTCTGGTCTCTCTCCGGTCTCTCTCTGGTCTCTCTCTCCGGTCTCTCTCTGGTCTCTCTCTCCGGTCTCTCTCTGGTCTTTCTCTCCGGTCTCTCTCTGGTCTCTCTCTCCGGTCTCTCTCTCCGGTCTCTCTCTGGTCTCTCTCTCCGGTCTCTCTCTGGTCTCTCGCTGGTCTCTCTCTCCGGTCTCTCTGGCCTCTCTCTGGTCTCTCTCTCTCTCTCTCTCTCCCTGGTCTCTCTCTGGTCTCTCTCTCTGTTCTCTCCCTGGTCTCTCTTACTGGTCTCTCCCTGGACCCTCTCTGGTCTCTTTCTCTGGTCTCTTTGGTCTTATTCAAGGATCATGAATCCGTTGAGTTTATTTCTGCCCTCACAGCCACAAACACATCCCTCACATTAGCTCATTTAAAGCTTAGAAGTTAAACATGTGTTTGTGGCTGATCCTAAATGGTTTCATATCTTCACAATATATTTATAATAAAACCCTTAAAACAGCGGATAAATCGGTCGTTCCCAAGTTATAACTCCTGCAAACGTGTCCACTTTGTCTTCACTCTGAACTATCATGTCTCTCCCGCCTCACGCGTCACTGTCGTCTCATGTGTGTGAGCCGTGGACACGTCTGCGATCCTCAAATGTCACTTTCTTCTCTCATCTTAAAAACACTCACTCTTCCAGGGTTTCTCTCTTCCTTTCACTCTCTCACAAGTTTCTGTCTCAGCATTTTATTTATGTGGATGAGGTTGTTTGTCCTCTCTGGTCTCTCTATTGTCTCTTTCTGGTCTCTCTCTGTGGTGTCTTTCTCTATGGTCTCTTTCTGGTCTCTCTCTGGTGTCTCTCTGTCTGCTGGAGAGCAGATAAATAGTTCTATTGCTGTGGTCTGAAATGCTTTAAAGTCCCTTCCCCTGGAATGCGTGAGGAGCCTGCCCAGGGACCCTCTTGTGGTGAGGCTGAAGCACTAAAGTCTGTGTGTTGCAGCGCTCTGAGATCAAACCTCTGGACGGAGAAGTCTTCAGAGACCTCAGTCCTTTCCCTGGACACCGTAAGACCAGCATCATCATCACCAACAGGTGGGTGTGGGCCAGGGGCAGGACCAGGGGCAGGACCAGGGGCAGGACCAGGGGCAGGACCAGGGGCAGGAGCAGGGGCAGGACCAGGGGCAGGACCAGGGCCAGGACCAGGGGCAGGACCAGGGGCAGGACCAGGGGCAGGACCAGGGGCAGGACCAAGCCTCAGAGTCCCAGCGCTGGTCCTGGGCTATAACTGTTGTGTATCTATTGTGTAACTGTTGTGTGTTGTGTGTCCAGGCGTGTGTTGTGTGTGAAGGAGCTGGACTTTGTGAATCACTTTAACAAAGAGTGGGAGTGTCTGTACGAGAACTTCATCAGACCCCCTGAGGTGAAGGGGGCGGAGCTACGGATCTACTGCAAGGTACTGATACTACTGACAATACTACTGCAAGGTACTGATACTACTGCAAGGTACTGATACTACTGACAATACTACTGCAAGGTACTGATACTACTGACAATACTACTGCAAGGTACTGATACTACTGACAATACTACTGCAAGGTACTGATACTACTGACAATACTACTGCAAGGTACTGATACTACTGCAAGGTACTGATACTACTGACAATACTACTGCAAGGTACTGATACTACTGACAATACTACTGCAAGGTACTGATACTACTGACAATACTACTGCAAGGTACTGATACTACTGACAATACTACTGCAAGGTACTGATACTACCACCACCACTAACCACAGGTTGGACTCTGACTCTTCCAGAACAAACAGAATCCTCCAAAACCTGCAGTTTTTCTGCCTCTACCTTTTGCCAAACTCCAAATGACAACAAATCCAAACTGTTGTTTCAAAGAACCTCCAGGTCTCTGGGTCTGGGTCTGGGGTCACGGTTATATGTTTGAAGTCCAGGTCTAGGGTCTGGGTCTGGGGTTAGATGTCCGGCTCTGGGTTCAGGGTTATAGGTTTGAAGTCCGGGTCTAGGGTCTGGGTCTGGGGTTAGAAGTCCGGGTCTTGGGTCTGGGTCATTATTATAATTTTCTAATCTTGTGTTTTCAGGAGACAATGAAGTTGAAGCTGCAGTGGAAAGACGGACAGGACCCAGGAAGAACAGTGCAGCTCAAAGACCCTAATGTGGCCCAGGTCAGAGAATCATCAGGGCCTCATCAGGGCCTCATCAGGGCCTCATCAGGACCTCATCAGGACCTCATCAGGACCTCATCAGGGCCTCATCAGGGCCTCATCAGGGCCTCATCAGGGCCTCATCAGGGCCTCATTAGGTCCTCATCAGATCCTGGACAGGTCCTCATTAGGTCCTGGACAGGTCCTCATCAGGTCCTGAGGTCTTCCAGACTCCTGTCCTCTGATTGGTCTGTTTTTGTCTCCTCAGAAGTTGCACAGATCCATCTGTGAAGGAAGGACGTCTCAGCAGCAGCACCGAATGTCCAGACAGAGGTCCACACGCTTCCTCAAGAAACAGTGACAGACCACAAGGTCCCTGGTTTAGACCAGAGACCAGAGACCACAGGGTCCCTGGTTTAGACCAGAGACCAGAGACCACAAGGTCCCTGGTTTAGACCAGAGACCACAGGGTCCCTGGTTTAGACCAGAGACCAGTCTCAGGCACAGAACAAATCTTCTCCGTCCTCAGTAAAATTGTCCCCATCACTGGTCTCCGTCCTCGGGGAGAGGAGAGCGGCTCTACTCCGAGCTCCACCACTGAATGCTAAAGTGCCTCATGTAGTTATTGTTTATGTGTTTGTGAAGCTGATGATGAAGAACAAGCCTCAGTTAAAGCTGCGTTACTTATCTTTGTAAATAATGTTTTTATTCTTTTCCTCCAAAGATCAAACGTCTGAAGAATCTTCTGTTTACACTTGTTTTATTTTCACATTTTGTCGTTGACTTTTTGTTTAAAAGTTCTGTTTGGTTTCAGGTAAAAATAACTTTCACTGATTTGCACTAATAATAATAATATAATAAGAGTCATGATATTAATATTAAGAATCCTGATAATGATATGAATAGAGTTAGAGCTTTGTGATGACGTCATGTTTATTAAATTTGAATATTTTGAACAAAATAAAAAGCACTGGTTTCTAAAGACGTGTGGCTGTAGTTGTTTGTGTGAGATCTGAGCACACGGCGCCCCCTTGTGGACCCATGGGTATGACACGTCCTGTGCAGCGCAGAGGAACCAGCAGCAGCTACAGACACCAGGAAACAGTCTGTGCCCTGGGTTAGAGAGATCCCTGTGAGTCACTATTGGACTCTTTTGGCTGACAGCTGATTGGCTGCGAGAGACCGCACAGAAAGGTTAATAAAGGAAAGGGAATAAACAGACTCGTTACTAACTCTGAACGTTACAATCCCTAGCTTTGAATTCATTAGAGTTACACACATCTTAAACTAGAGTTTCAATTTTACAAACATTTATTTATGCTACAGATCATTAAAACTATGACTAAAAGTACAAATGTTAAATCTAAACTTCTAATGAACAATGACACAGGTCTTCAGTCCAAGTTCACTATCGAGTCTGGTCCTTTATCCGGTCTTAAGTCCTATAATCAATCCTGGTCTGTAGTACTGGTTCAGATCCAGTTTTCTGCCCTGGTCTTCCATCCTGGTTCAGTATTGGTTCTTTCCCGCTCCTCAGTCCTGGTTTAGTCCTGGTTTAGTCCCACTTTGTTCTGTGTCTGGTCTGAGTCGGTCTGGTCCTGACTGTATGAAGAGGTCTCTCTGGTCTCCACGTCCCGGGTCCCGGTGCCCGCAGCGATGGGGTTCCAGGGCTGCCTCCGTGGCGCCCCCTGCAGCTCGTGTCGATGCAGCGGCTTCAGGTGAGAGGCCAGGACCAGGGACCTGCAGAGGGTCAGGAGACTTTAAAGCTGGGGTACGCAACTTACAGACCACACCAATAAGTCTCTGTCTGGGTCTAGTTCTCACACATATGAACACGATGGTCTGAGGCCTCTTTCACGTCCTCAGACCATCGAGTCCAGTCTGAGTCCAGCCTGAGTCCAGCCTGAGTCCAGCCTGAGTCCAGCCTGAGTCCAGCCTGACCTGAAGTCCTCGTAGGAGCCCACCCTCTGCTCCACAGCTCTCAGTTTGGCGGTGTTCTCTCTCTGGTATCTTTCCTCCGACTGAACGGCTCCACGCAGCTCCTTCTCCAGAGACTCGAAGTTTATCAGACCAGACATGACTGAGGAGAGACCAGAGAGAGGACCAGAGAGAGACCAGGGAGATCAGACCAGAGTGAGGGAGAGACCAGAGAGAGAGACCAGAGAGAGAGACCAGAGAGAGATCAGACCAGAGTGAGGGAGAGACCAGAGAGAGAGACCAGAGAGAGAGACCAGAGAGAGAGATCAGACCAGAGTGAGGGAGAGACCAGAGAGAGAGACAGAGGGAGATCAGACCAGAGAGAGAGACCAGAGATTATATTAGAGTAGATTCAAATGTATTGTCATTACAAAGTCAGAACTATGTAACAAATGCAGTTTAGCGTCTAACCAGTGCAATAAGTATAGGATCATATTTACAACAGATACATTATTTGCACATGAGACTGTACAAGCTGCTACTGCTGTACATTCATTATATTACATTAAAGTGCATTTAGTGGGCTTTCATTACCTGAGAGTTCAGGAGTGTGACTGCTCTGTGATAGAGAGAGCGGAGAGAGAGACCAAAGAGAGAGACCAGAGAGAGGGACCAGAGAGAGAGAGAGAGAGGGACCAGAGAGAGGGACCAGAGAGAGAGAGAGAGAGGGACCAGAGAGAGGGACCAGAGAGAGAGAGAGAGAGAGAGAGGGACCAGAGAGAGAGAGAGACCAGAGAGAGGGACCAGAGAGAGAGAGAGACCAGAGAGAGGGACCAGAGAGAGAGGGACCAGAGAGAGAGAGAGACCAGAGAGAGGGACCAGAGAGAGGGACCAGAGAGAGGGACCAGAGAGAGGGACCAGAGAGAGAGAGAGACCAGAGAGAGGGACCAGAGAGAGGGACCAGAGAGAGGGACCAGAGAGACCAGAGAGAGGGACCAGAGAGACCAGAGAGACGGACCAGAGAGACAGAGAGACGGACCAGAGAGACAGAGAGACCAGGTGGAGTCACATAAGCAGCAGGTGTCACTCGAGTCGTTTTAACGGAATTGAACAGAAAATATCACCACAATGTGAGGTTTTCGGAACTTTTCAAAAACACATTTAGCTCACTGAGAAACAAGAAGAATCTGCTGTTTCCAAAAGCCACACATGCTACATGCTACATGCTAACACTAAGACTAACAGTGGGACCTGCTAAACCCGCGTCTGAACAGGTCGTAATCAGACGCACACAGCGGTACATCACCTGCTCCTGTGTGGACCATGTGTGTGGACCATGTGTGTGGACCATAGACAGTATATATTAAGTGTGGACCCGTCTCTGGCCGCGGTCCCGCAGATTGAGACACGTTCACCTCTGTTTGCGTCTTCTCTCGTTTCTATGGCAACGCGTCAACAGCTACTACAGCAGCGCGTAAGCCGTTTCTATGGCAACGAATAAACAGTCTGTTTAATTTAAAAATAAAAATGTTTTTTATTTTATTTTTTTATCTTCAAAAAATGACTTTTTAAGCGACACACTTCAGATGTGACTTTGTTTAAGAGCGGGTTTTATCCAAATAACTTCATGTCAGGTTTATCTCGACTTTTATGCTCCTCACTTTGTCACGTTTGTTCTTGGGTTAAGTTAAGCTGGTTAACAAGAGGATATGCTCTGATTTGAGTTAGTGTCAGGACTAGTTCAGATTCAGCTGGTGGTACCATGTGTGTTTTAAATGACAAAGATGTGCCACGGCTCAAAAAGGTTGATCCGGACACACGACATTTAACCACATTTATGAACTTTATCAACATTACTCCCAACGGTCTCAGTCCCTTTTGGACCAGTGGTTCTGTGGGTTTGTTATCCACCTCCTACAGTCCTACACATACATGTGGAGTGTGTTTCCTGCGGTCAGGGACTGACTGCTCTTTGTCATGTAAGAAATGATTAACGTCAAAATAACTTTATCTTTGTCTTTGTCCTGAGGTCAGGGACAGGTCTGAGGTCAGGGACAGGTTTGAGGTCAGCGACAGGTCTGAGGTCAGGACAGGTTTGAGGTCAGGACAGGTCTGAGGTCAGCGACAGGTCTGAGGTCAGGACAGGTCTGAGGTCAGGACAGGCCTGAGGTCAGGACAGGTCTGAGGTCAGGACAGGTCTGAGGTCAGGACAGGTCTGAGGTCAGGACAGGTCTGAGGTCAGGGACAGGTCTGAGGTCAGGACAGGTCTGAGGTCAGGACAGGTTTGAGGTCAGGACAGGTCTGAGGTCAGCGACAGGTCTGAGGTCAGGACAGGTCTGAGGTCAGGACAGGCCTGAGGTCAGGACAGGTCTGAGGTCAGGACAGGTCTGAGGTCAGGACAGGTCTGAGGTCAGGACAGGTCTGAGGTCAGGACAGGTCTGAGGTCAGGGACAGGTCTGAGGTCAGGACAGGTCTGAGGTCAGCGACAGGTCTGAGGTCAGGGACAGGTCTGAGGTCAGGACAGGTCTGAGGTCAGGGACAGGTCTGAGGTCAGGGACAGGTCTGAGGTCAGGGACAGGTCTGAGGTCAGGACAGGTCTGAGGTCAGGGACAGGTCTGAGGTCAGGACAGGTCTGAGGTCAGGGACGGGTCTGAGGTCAGGGACAGGTCTGAGGTCAGGGACGGGTCTGAGGTCAGGACAGGTCTGAGGTCAGGACAGGTCTGAGGTCAGGACAGGTCTGAGGTCAGCGACAGGTCTGAGGTCAGGGACAGGTCTGAGGTCAGGACAGGTCTGAGGTCAGGGACGGGTCTGAGGTCAGGACGGGTCTGAGGTCAGGACAGGTCTGAGGTCAGGGACAGGTCTGAGGTCAGGGACAGGTCTGAGGTCAGGGACAGGTCTGAGGTCAGGACAGGTCTGAGGTCAGGGACAGGTCTGAGGTCAGGGACGGGTCTGAGGTCAGGACAGGTCTGAGGTCAGGGACAGGTCTGAGGTCAGGACAGGTCTGAGGTCAGGGACAGGTCTGAGGTCAGGACAGGTCTGAGGTCAGGACAGGTCTGAGGTCAGGACAGGTCTGAGGTCAGGACAGGTCTGAGGTCAGGGACAGGTCTGAGGTCAGGACAGGTCTGAGGTCAGGACAGGTCTGAGGTCAGGGACGGGTCTGAGGTCAGGACAGGTCTGAGGTCAGGGACAGGTCTGAGGTCAGGACAGGTCTTAGGTCAGGGACAGGTCTGAGGTCAGGGACAGGTCTGAGGTCAGGAACAGGTCTGAGGTCAGGGACAGGTCTGAGGTCAGGACAGGTCTGAGGTCAGGGACAGGTCTGAGGTCAGGGACAGGTCTGAGGTCAGGGACAGGTCTGAGGTCAGGACAGGTCTGAGGTCAGGGACGGGTCTGAGGTCAGGGACAGGTCTGAGGTCAGGACAGGTCTGAGGTCAGGACAGGTCTGAGGTCAGGACAGGTCTGAGGTCAGGACAGGTCTGAGGTCAGGGACAGGTCTGAGGTCAGGACAGGTCTGAGGTCAGGACAGGTCTGAGGTCAGGACAGGTCTGAGGTCAGGACAGGTCTGAGGTCAGGGCCAGGTCTGAGGTCAGGGACAGGTCTGAGGTCAGGACAGGTCTGAGGTCAGGACAGGTCTGAGGTCAGGACAGGTCTGAGGTCAGGACAGGTCTGAGGTCAGGGACAGGTCTGAGGTCAGGACAGGTCTGAGGTCAGGACAGGTCTGAGGTCAGGGACAGGTCTGAGGTCAGGGACAGGTCTGAGGTCAGGAACAGGTCTGAGGTCAGGACAGGTCTGAGGTCAGGACAGGTCTGAGGTCAGGACAGGTCTGAGGTCAGGGACGGGTCTGAGGTCAGGGACAGGTCTGAGGTCAGGGACAGGTCTGAGGTCAGGGACAGGTCTGAGGTCAGGGACAGGTCTGAGGTCAGGGACAGGTCTGAGGTCAGGACAGGTCTGAGGTCAGGACAGGTCTGAGGTCAGGACAGGTCTGAGGTCAGGGACAGGTCTGAGGTCAGGACAGGTCTGAGGTCAGGGACAGGTCTGAGGTCAGGACAGGTCTGAGGTCAGGGACAGGTCTGAGGTCAGGGACAGGTCTGAGGTCAGGACAGGTCTGAGGTCAGGACAGGTCTGAGGTCAGGACAGGTCTGAGGTCAGGACAGGTCTGGGTCAGGACGGGTCTGAGGTCAGGGACAGGTCTGAGGTCAGGACGGGTCTGAGGTCAGGGACAGGTCTGAGGTCAGGACAGGTCTGAGGTCAGGACAGGTCTGAGGTCAGGACAGGTCTGAGGTCAGGACAGGTCTGAGGTCAGGACAGGTCTGAGGTCAGGACAGGTCTGAGGTCAGGGACAGGTCTGAGGTCAGGACAGGTCTGAGGTCAGGACAGGTCTGAGGTCAGGGACAGGTCTGAGGTCAGGACAGGTCTGAGGTCAGGACAGGTCTGAGGTCAGGGACAGGTCTGAGGTCAGGGACAGGTCTGAGGTCAGGGACAGGTCTGAGGTCAGGGACAGGTCTGAGGTCAGGGACAGGTCTGAGGTCAGGACAGGTCTGAGGTCAGGGACAGGTCTGAGGTCAGGACGGGTCTGAGGTCAGGGACAGGTCTGAGGTCAGGACAGGTCTGAGGTCAGGGACAGGTCTGAGGTCAGCGACAGGTCTGAGGTCAGGACAGGTCTGAGGTCAGGGCCAGGTCTGAGGTCAGGGACAGGTCTGAGGTCAGGGACAGGTCTGAGGTCAGCGACAGGTCTGAGGTCAGGGACAGGTCTGAGGTCAGGGACAGGTCTGAGGTCAGGACAGGTCTGAGGTCAGGGACAGGTCTGAGGTCAGGACAGGTCTGAGGTCAGGACAGGTCTGAGGTCAGGGACAGGTCTGAGGTCAGGACAGGTCTGAGGTCAGGACAGGTCTGAGGTCAGGACGGGTCTGAGGTCAGGGACAGGTCTGAGGTCAGGGACAGGTCTGAGGTCAGCGACAGGTCTGAGGTCAGCGACAGGTCTGAGGTCAGGGACAGGTCTGAGGTCAGCGACAGGTCTGAGGTCAGGACAGGTCTGAGGTCAGGGACGGGTCTGAGGTCAGGACAGGTCTGAGGTCAGGACAGGTCTGAGGTCAGGGACAGGTCTGAGGTCAGGGACAGGTCTGAGGTCAGGGACAGGTCTGAGGTCAGGGACAGGTCTGAGGTCAGGGACAGGTCTGAGGTCAGGACAGGTCTGAGGTCAGCGACAGGTCTGAGGTCAGGGACAGGTCTGAGGTCAGGGACAGGTCTGAGGTCAGGACAGGTCTGAGGTCAGGACAGGTCTGAGGTCAGGACAGGTCTGAGGTCAGGACAGGTCTGAGGTCAGGGACTCAGGGAGTGGTCTGAGAGAGACCAAGGAGAGAGAACAAGGAGAAAGACCAAGGAGAGAGCGATCCCCCTCCTCTTCCTCTTCCCCCTCTCTCCTCTTCATCTCCTTCCTCCTCTCTCTTCCTCCCCTTCCTCCTCCTCTCTCTTCCTCCCCCCTCCTCCTCCTCTTCCTCCCCCCCTCCTCTCTCTTCCTCCCCTTCCTCCTCCTTTCTCTTCCTCCCCTTCCTCCTCCTCCCCTTCCTCCTCCCCCCTCCTCCTCCTCTTCCTCCCCTTCCTCCTCCTCCTCTTCCTCCTCTTCCTCCTCTGATTACATGTCTATAATGACAGAGACGATCGCCGGAAACACAGCAGTTTTTAAACCAGGACAAGTCCAGACGCAGAGATAAAGATTCATGTGATTATGGCGCTCTCCCCTGAGGCTCTCTCGCTCTGACACTGATGTGACTTTAACCACGTTACTGTAGTGTCCTGATCACACACAGGCCCCGAGAGGCTCTCTCACAGCGAGCAGAGACTGTGAGAGAGACCCTAGCAACAGATGAAGCGGAAGATCATGGATGGATGGTGTAGTAAATTCACATTCAGATTATCCCATAGCCCTCAATGTTAGAGAGATCAGAAAGACCTTAGAGAGAGACCAGAGAGAGAGACCAGAGAGAGAGACCGGAGAGAGAGACCCAAGAGAGAGACCAGAGACCTTTGATTTGTCAGAACGCGAACTTCTTACTCCAGAACCACTGCCACCTCCTGCACAAGACCAGGAGAACCAGAGCCGAAGAGACCAGGAGAACCAGAGCCGAAGAGACCAGGAGAACCAGAGCTGAAGAGACCAGGAGAACCAGAGCTGAAGAGACCAGGAGAACCAGAGCCAAAGAGACCAGGAGAACCAGAGCCGAAGAGACCAGGAGAACCAGAGCTGAAGAGACCAGGAGAACCAGAGCTGAAGAGACCAGGAGAACCAGAGCCAAAGAGACCAGGAGAACCAGAGCCGAAGAGACCAGGAGAACCAGAGCCGAAGAGACCAGGAGAACCAGAGCTGACCAGATGGTGTCACTTCTGCTAATGTTGGGGACATCCAATGAGTACGAACCTCTCTCTCTTAGACCTTAGACCAGAATGAGACCAGAATGAGACCAGAATGAGACCAGAATGAGACCAGAATGAGACCAGTTGGAGACTCTGGCCTCTCTGGTCTCAGGCCTCGACAGTTTGTGTACACTGAAAGCAGAGAAGCTCCACCTGTTAGAGAAGAGGACGTTTCCTGTTTATTCCAACTCCAGCTTCAGGAGAGAGAGGAGCTCTCTCCTCTGCTCCCCCCCCCCCCCTCCTCTTTGTCTCCCCTCTTTCTCCTCTCTCTCCTCTCTCCCTCTCTCTTCCCTCTCTCCTCTCTCCCCTCTCCTCCCCCCTCTCTCTCCTCCTCAGCTCCTAGTCTCTCCATATTCAGACCACTCCTGAGGCCTCTGGAAAACTCGTAAACCTCACAGCTCCACGTTCAAAGAACCAAGTGCTTTGGATTCAACACAGAACGCTGCTCAGGATGGAAAAGGTTTATTTGTTTACGACGTACTGTTGGAGTCGTAGGAGACCAGAGAGAGACCAGAGAGAGAGACCAGAGAGAGAGACCTGAGAGAGAGACCAGAGAGAGACCAGAGAGAGACCAGAGAGAGAGACCAGAGAGAAACCAGAAAGAGACCAGGGAGAGAGACCAGAGAGAGACCAGAGAGAGAGACCAGAGAGAAACCAGAAAGAGACCAGGGAGAGAGACCAGAGAGAGAGACCTGAGAGAGAGACCAGAGAGAGACCAGAGAGAGACCAGAGAGAGAGACCAGAGAGAAACCAGAAAGAGACCAGGGAGAGAGACCAGAGAGAGACCAGAGAGAGAGACCAGAGAGAGACCAGAGAGAGAGACCAGAGAGAGACCTGAGAGAGAGACCAGAGAGAGACCAGAGAGAGAGACCTGAGAGAGAGACCAGAGAGAGACCAGAGAGAGACCAGAGAGAGAGACCAGAGAGAGAGACCAGAGAGAGACCAGAGAGAGAGACCAGAGAGAGACCAGAGAGAGAGACCAGAGAGAGACCAGAGAGAGACCAGAGAGAGAGACCAGAGAGAGAGACCAGAGAGAGACCAGAGAGAGAGACAAGAGAGACCAGAGAGAGACCAGAGAGAGAGACTTGAGAGAGACCAAAGAGAGAGACCAGAGAGAGACCAAAGAGAGAGACCAGAGAGAGACCAGAGAGAGAGACCAGAGAGAGACCAGAGGGCTTTGACGCATGTAGGCTCTGCTCCTGCTGTAAACATCTTTCACTGACGCTGAGCTGTGACTCATTAAAACCTGTTTAAATGATGGATCCCACAGAGCGGCTTCTACTTCAGCACGAGTCTACGGCTTTTACAGGACTGTAAACCAGAGAGAGAGACCAGAGAGAAGAGAGAGAGACAAGAGAGAAGAGAGAGAGAGCAGAGGAAGACCAGAGAGGGACCACAGAGAGACCAGAGAGAGACCAGAGAGAGACCAGAGGAGAGACCAGAGAGAGACCAGAGAGAGACCAGAGAGAGACCAGAGATCGACCAGAGGAAGACCAGAGAGAGACCAGAGAGAGACCAGAGAGAGACCAGAGATCGACCAGAGGAAGACCAGAGAGAGACCAGAGATCGACCAGAGGAAGACCAGAGAGAGACCAGAGGAGAGACCAGAGAGAGACCAGAGGAGAGGTGCCTTGTGGCCTCATGTCCCTGTGTTTCTCTCACATCTGCAGTGGTTTCTTAATGAACTTGCAGCAGAAGAACCACATGTTTTTTATTGTGGGAAAAGTCTCAACGAAGATCAACTCTGATGGACACATTCTCCTCTCTCCTCTCTCCTCTCTCACCCTCTGCTCCTCTCCTCTCTCCTCTCTCCCTCTGCTCCTCTCCTCTCTCCCCTCTCTCCCTCTGCTCCTCTCCTCTCTCCTCTCTCCCTCTGCTCCTCTCCTCTCTCCCCTCTCTCCCTCTGCTCCTCTCCTCTCTCCCCTCTCTCCCTCTGCTCCTCTCCTCTCTCCCCTCTATCCTCTCTCTCCCTATGCTCCTCTCCTCTCTCCCCTCTCTCCCTCTGCTCCTCTCCTCTCTCCCCTCTCTCCCTCTGCTCCTCTCCTCTCTCTCCCTCTGCTCCTCTCCTCTCTCCTCTCTCTCCCTCTGCTCCTCTCCTCTCTCCCCTCTCTCCCTCTGCTCCTCTCCTCTGTCCCCTCTCTCCCTCTGCTCCTCTCCTCTCTCCCCTCTATCCTCTCTCTCTATGCTCCTCTCCTCTCTCCCCTCTCTCCCTCTGCTCCTCTCCTCTCTCCCCTCTCTCCCTCTGCTCCTCTCCTCTCTCCCCTCTATCCTCTCTCTCCCTATGCTCCTCTCCTCTCTCCCCTCTCTCCCTCTGCTCCTCTCCTCTCTCCCCTCTCTCCCTCTGCTCCTCTCCTCTCTCCCCTCTATCCTCTCTCTCCCTCTGCTCCTCTCCTCTCTCCCCTCTCTCCCTCTGCTCCTCTCCTCTCTCCCCTCTCTCCCTCTGCTCCTCTCCTCTCTCCCCTCTATCCTCTCTCTCCCTCTGCTCCTCTCTTCTCTCTCCTCTCTCCTCTCTCCCCTCTTTCCTCTCTCTCCTCTCCTCTCTCTCTCGGTCTTGGTTATAGTCTTGGTCTTGGTCCTGGTCCTGGATCAGTGGTGCTCGATGGACTCAGTCTAAACAAAACACTTTGACAGGAAAAATCTACTGCCCAAGAGACAAAGAGTTTGGACAAGGAAGTCAGGTGTGAGGAGGAGAGAGAGGAGAAGAGAGGAGGAGGAGAGAGAGGAGAAGAGAGGAGGAGGAGAGAGAGGAGGAGGAGGAGGAAAGAGAGAGAGGAGGAGGGGGAGAGAGAGGAGGAGGGGGAGAGAGAGGAGGAGGAGGAGAGAGAAGAGCGGAGGAGGATAGAGAGGTGGAGGAGGACATGTCTGTGCTTTGAGCCTCGGGTGTGAGCAGCTGTGATGAATGTGTTTCCACTGAAGACGACTGTCACAGCATCAACACTTCTGTCTCATATTTTCCATTACCTTCAGATTGAAGTCTCTCTTTGGTCTCTCTCTCTGGCCTCTCTCTCTGGTCTCTCTCTGGTCTCTCTCTGGTCTTTCTCTGGTCTCTCTCTGGTCCTTCTGGTCTCTCTCTCTGGTCTCTCTCTGGTCTCTCTCTGGTCCTTCTGATCTCTCTCTCTGGTCTCTCTCTGGTCCCTCTCTGGTCTCTCTCTGGTCCTTCTGGTCTCTCTCTCTGGTCTCTCTCTGGTCTCTCTCTGGTCTCTCTCTGGTCTCTCTGGTCTCTCTCTGGTCTCTCTCTGGTCTCTCTCTGGTCCTTCTGGTCTCTCTCTGGTCTCTCTCTGGTCTTTCTCTGATCTCTCTCTGGTCTCTCTGGTCTCTCTCTGGTCCTTCTGGTCTCTCTCTGGTCTCTCTCTGGTCTCTCTCTGGTCTCTCTCTGGTCTCTCTCTGGTCCTTCTGGTCTTGTCATACTATTACAAGACGAGATTGGAGCTTTTCGACAGAAGGGGCGGAGCTACATGTTTGCATCAGAAGTTCTTAATTTGAGCGTGGATGGATCCAAACACAGCGGCAGGACAACAGTATCAAACAGGGAGTGCAGATCTAGAATATGTCTTCTTTAACTGAGAAGTATAAGCCACTAAAACACAGGCAGAAGAGGAGAGCATACGTCCCCTTTAAGACGCAAAGACACTAATTACAAACACGTGCGCGCCGTTTACGGTTTGGGGTTAATACGACAGAATTACGGCGCTGGAGTTTGTCATGGAGGTCACGTTTCCACAAACAACAGTTCGTCCCAGAGACAGATTACAGACTGTAAATACGGGGTGCGACTGCGTAATGGGAGGACGGCTGTGGGGGGGGGAGACAGGGGGGAGGACCGAGGGTGTAGGAGCTGTGAGAGAAAGGGGAGAGGGGGGAGGAGAGGAGAGAGAGATAGCGGGGATAGGCGACAAACGAGAGAAGAGAGAGAAGGGGAGCAAGGGAGGGCACAGAGTTAGTGGGGGGGAGAGGAGAGAAGGGAGGAGAAGAGAGGGCAGGAGGAGAGATGGAGTAGATGAAACATATCGAGACACTGGTCCATTTGGGATTGAACCCACAACCAATGAGGCCTGAGTGCTCAGCCAAAACAAACACTTAATTAAGAGAAACTGAAGGCGACAAACCGATTCAACACAACTTTCTACAAATATATTTATCTCTATAGAAACTGTGTGATTTTCAAACCCAAAACCTCAGGGAAAACCACTCTGCCACTGTCCTCTCCAGAACATCTGCTGCGACCGAGTGTTCCAGACCGAGCAAAACAACGGCCTAAAAATACATGTGTTTATCTGCAGATGCCCTGATGTTCAGACTATTTTCAGGTGGACAGTGCTACTGCTAACTCAATGAAGCCCAAAGCGAGGCGCTCATGGTGAAGTTTTACTCTAACTCGCTCTGGCTCCTATTCACTTACATGTAAAATATAACCCCCTCACACACAGCTGAACACAGGTCACAGGTACACATGTGTATGTCCCCAGAAAACAGGTCAAAGGTACACATGTGTATGTCCCCAGAAAACAGGTCACATGTACACATGTGTATGTCCCCAGAAAACAGGTCACATATACACATGTGTATGTCCTCAGATAACAGGTCACATGTACACATGTGTATGTCCCCAGATAACAGGTCACATGTACACATGTGTATGTCCTCAGATAACAGGTCACATGGACACATGTGTATGTCCTCAGATAACAGGTCACATGTACACATATGTATGTCCTCAGATAACGGGTCACAGGTACACATGTGTATGTCCCCAGATAACGGGTCAAAGGTACACATGTGTATGTCCCCAGATAACAGGTCACATGTACACATGTGTATGTCCTCAGATAACAGGTCACATGGACACATGTGTATGTCCTCAGATAACAGGTCACATGTACACATGTGTATGTCCTCAGATAACAGGTCACATGGACACATGTGTATGTCCTCAGATAACAGGTCACAGGTACACATGTGTATGTCCCCAGAAAACAGGTCACATGTACACATGTGTATGTCCCCAGAAAACAGGTCACATGTACACATGGGTATGTCCCCAGAAAACAGGTCACATGTACACATGTGTATGTCCCCAGATAACAGATCACATGTACACATGTGTATGTCCTCAGATAACAGGTCACATGGACACATGTGTATGTCCCCAAATAACAGGTCACAGGTACACATCCGATTCAGATTCATTTACTTGCCATTTGCAGTAAAACCACATTGGAAAAACTGTGCAAGACTACCCCAGTGAGCACACACCAGAGCTCTTACCACGGCGCCATGCGAATAGACATGTGTATGTTCCCACATAACAGGTAACCTGTACACATGTGTATGTCCCCACAGAACAGGTCACATGTACACACGTGTATGTCCCCACAGAACAGGTCACATGTACACATGTGTATGTCCCCACAGAACAGGTCACATGTACACACGTGTATGTCCCCACAGAACAGGTCACATGTACACATGTGTATGTCCCCACAGAACAGGTCACATGTACACACGTGTATGTCCCCACAGAACAGGTCACATGTACACATGTGTATGTCCCCACAGAACAGGTCACATGTACACATGTGTATGTCCCCACAGAACAGGTCACATGTACACATGTGTATGTCCCCAGAAAACAGGTCACATGTAACACATGTGTAATGTCCCAGAAAACAGGTCACATGTAACATGTGTATGCTCCTGCAGATAACAGGTCACATGTAACCATGTGTATGTCCCCAGATAACAGGTCACATGTACACAATGTGTATGTCCTCAGATAACAGGTCACATGTACACATGTGTATGGTCCTCTAGATAACAGGTCACAATGTACACATGTGTATTCCTCAGATACAGGGTCACTGTCTTGTGTATGTCCCCAGATAACGGGTTCCACAAGTACACATAGGTATGTCCCCAGATAACAGGTCAACATGACACATGTGATGTCCTACAGATAACAGGTCACATGGGACACATGTGTATGTCCTCATGATAACAGGTCACATGTACACAGGTGTATGTCCTCAGATAACATGTCACCATGGGCCACATGTGTATGTCCTCAGATAATAGGGGTACAGGTACACATGTGTATGTCCCCCAGAAAACAGGTCACAGGTACACATGTGTATGTCCCCAAGAAAACAGTCACATGTACACATGGGTAGTCCCCCAGAAAACAGGTCACATGTACACATGTGTATGTCCCCACATAACAGATCCACACATGTACACATGTGTATGTCCCCACAGAAAACAGGTCACATGTACACGCGTGTATGTCCCCACAGAACAGGTCACATGTACATGTGTGTTTGTCCCCACAGAACAGGTCACATGTACACACGTGTATGTCCCCACAGAACAGGTCACATGTGAGTGATCCATTTTATAGTAACGGATTACTGTACACAGAGTTTATAGAGTTTTAGCTAAACTCCAGCAGGTGGACTACATCAGTAATAAATGCTGAGGAGCTCCGAGTATCAAAGGAGGAAGATTCTGATGACAAAAGTGTGAATAATGTATTAGACCAGTAAGAGCATATTACATATTGTCTTTTTTGAACTTCACATGTACAGAATAGGAGTAAAGTAAAGGTCTGTAACGTTTGTTTATGGTCTCATTGTCCTCAATAAACACCGCTCTCTCAAACACTCGACTCTTCTGCTGCGTCAGTGGAATGTGCCTCGTGTCGTAAAAACTAAAACGGTGGTTAGACCCTGGATTAGACCCTGAGTTAGACCCTGAGTTAGACCCTGAGTTAGACCTTGGGTGGTCCTTATCTGCTTCAGACCCACACGCCTCATACAGACCATCTCAGAGTTTAGTCCGAGTTTAAACGTGTGTTGTTTTCAGACAGCGGTGAAGCCTCCACAGCAGCAGTGCAGTGGGACCTGGAGAGAGTGCGGACAGGGGTTTCCTCCAGGTGCTCCGGTTTGCCCAATGTCCCACAGGTCAGAGGGTGGAGATGGTCCTCTGCTTCTGTCTGTGTTCTGTAGATTCTCCTTCGTCACCGTCACGTCCCTGTCCTGTGGGTGTGGTGCCGTGTCGCCTTGACCCGTGTCAAAGCTCAGATACTGTATGTGACTTCCTCCTCCGCTCACAGGACGTTCTCAGCTCTCGCCCTGATAACAAACTATTTATATTTAAATACACACAATTGAGCACACACACTCGATTAAAGGAGATGTAGAATGTCCTCAGATTAACCATGGTTCTATAATAATAACTGGATAGGGTATTACTAGCTTAGAGCTGTCCCACCCATGGCCACAGGGGGCGCTGTGGTACTGCAGACTAAATTCACGTGGACTACCCAGAAAAAAAGTCTCATAGAACACAATGTACATTAAAATAGTTCGACCTCAGCTGACAGAGAACCTGACAGAGAACCTGACAGAGAACCTACAGCTTTCATAAAGGAGGATTTTGTGGGGATTTTAATGTCCCTTGTCGTCCTGAACATTTTTTTCATCTTAAATCCTTCGGTTTTCCTTAAATCCTCACTTTACCAGTGGGGGCGGGTCCCGGCTCAAAAGTGGCGAAAATAACGTGCGCTGACATGCTGCAATACCACCCCGGGCCGATGGGGGTGGACCCAGAAGAAAAATTAGCCAATGCTAACGTATAGCATTAGCAGACCTCTCAAAAACGTCTTTACAGGATGGACCAAAAGTTGGCTCTTGGCCCAAAGCTCCGTTCCACATGTGTGTCAATGCTGAGGGGGGTGTTCTGGACCAGTCTAGTTTACTCGCTGTGGACTTTAGAAGTCTCTCGTTTAAATGAATGGAGCTGCTCCGGCTAACGCATGCGCAGATGTGTTTTTTCACAATTTTCTTGTGGGCGGGACCACTCGCGGCCATTTTGGATAGCTCCAGTAGAGCAAGTTTTTTGGCCCATTAGTTAGAACGGGCCCCCATTGTCCTCCTGTGGACTCACCACCTGCAGAGGGTCAGTGAGGGGCTGGTGCTGTGAGACTTGGGTGGCATCTCTGACTGCCACCCCCCTGACCCAGAAATGGATTAAAGGGTAGAAAATGGATGGATGGATAGAACGGCGGAGATAGACGTGACTCTGTCCGTTAATATATACAGTCTGTGCACTTTACTGCCTCAAACTCTGCTCGTTTCTTTCCCGCTCTGATCAGCTCTGACTGCTCTCTCTCCTCTCTCCTTTCCTCTCTCCCATCTCTCCTCCATCCCCTCTTTTCTCTTCTCTCCTCCTCTCCTCCTCTCCTTCTCTCCTCCTCTCCTGCTCTCCTCCTCTCCTGCTCTCCTCCTCTCCTGCTCTCCTCCTCTCCTGCTCTCCTCCTCTCCTCCTCTCCTGCTCTCCTCCTCCCTCTCCTCCTCTCCTGCTCTCCTCCTCTCCTTCTCTCCTCCTCTCCTGCTCTCCTCCTCTCCTGCTCTCCTCCTCTCCTGCTCTCCTCCTCTCGCTGCCTCTCCTGCTCTCGCTCCTCTCCGCTCTCCTCCCTTCCTTCTCTCCTCCGTCCCCTCTCTCCTGCTCTCCTCCTCCTCTCCTCTCCTGCACTCCTCCTCATCCTCCTCTCCTCCTCTCTCCTCTCCTCCGCTCTCCTGCTCCCTCCTCTCCCTCCTGCTCTCCCTGCTCTTCCTCCTCACCTACTCTCTCTCTCCCTCTCTCTCTCCTCTCCCTCTCTCCTGCTCTCCTCTCCTCTCCTCCTCTCTCTCTCCTCTGCCTCTCTCCTCTCTCTCTCTCCTCCTCCTCTCCCTCCTCTCCTCTCCCTCCTCTCCCTCTCTCCTCCTCTCCTCTCGCTCCTCCTCTCCTCTCTCTCCCTCTCCTCCTCTCCTCTCCTCTCTCCTCTCTCTCCTCTCCCTCTCTCCTCTCTCCTCTCTCCTCTCTCTCTCTCCCTCTCCTCTCCTCCTCTCTCTCCTCTCGCCTCTCCTCTCTCCCTCTCTCTCCTCTCCTCCCTCTTCCTCTCTCCTCTCCTCTCTCTCTCTCTCTCTCTCCTCTCCTCTCTCCTCTCTCCTCTCCTCTCCTCTCCTCTCCTCTCCCTCTCCTCTCTCTCCTCCTCTCTCCTGCTCCTCTCTCCTCTCCTCTCCTCCCTCTCTCCTCCCTCCTCTCTCTCTGCTCTCCCTCCTCTCCTCCTCTCCTCTCTCCTCCCTCTCCTCTCCTCTCTCCTCCTCTCCTCTCCTCCTCTCCTCCTCTCCTCCTCCCCTCTCTCCTCCTCTCCTCTCTCCTCCTCCCTCCCTCCTCTCTCTCCTCCTCTCTCCTCCTCTCCTCTCTCTCCTCTCTCTCTCCTCTCCTCCTCTCCTCCTCTCTCCTCCTCTCCTCCTCTCCTCTCTCTCCCTCCTCTCCTCCTCTCCTCTCTCCTCTCCCTCCTCTCCTCTCCTCTCTCTCCTGCTCTCTCCTCTCCTCTCTCTCCTCCCTCTCCTCTCTCCTCTCTCCTCTCTCTCCTCTCCTCTCTCCTCTCTCCTCTCTCTCCTCCTCCTCTCTCCTCCTCTCTCTCTCCTCCTCTCTCTCCTCTCCTCTCTCCTCCTCTCCTCTCTCCTCTCTCCTCCTCTCCTCTCCTCTCTCTCCTCTCCTCTCTCCTCTCCTCTCTCCTCTCTCTCCTCCTCTCCTCTCCCTCTCTCTCTCTCTCCTCTCTCCTCTCTCCTCTCTCTCCTCTCCTCTCTCCTCTCTCTCCTCTCCTCCTCTCCTGCTCTCTCCTCTCCTTCTCTCCTCTCTCCTCCTCTCCTCTCCTCCTGCTCCCTCCTCTCCTCTCTCTCCTCTCCTCCTCTCCTCTCTCTCCTGCTCCTCCTCCTCTCCCTCCTCTCTCCTCCTCTCCTCTCCTCCTCTCTCTCTCCTCTCTCTCCTCTCTCCTGCTCTCCTCCTCTCTGCTCTCCTCCTCTCCCTCCTCTCTCCTCTCCTCCTCTCCTGCTCTCTCTCCTCTCCTCCTCTCCTGCCTCTCCTCCTCTCCTCTCTCCTCTCCTCCTCCTCTCCTCTCCTCCTCTCCTCTCCTCTCTCTCCTCTCTCTCCTCCTCTCTCTCTCCCTCCTCTCCTCTCTCTCCTCCTCTCCTCTCTCCTGCTCTCTCCTCTCCCTCTCTCCCTCCTCTCTCTCGCTCTCCTCCTCTCCTCTCTCCTTCTCTCCTCCTCCTCTCCCTCTCTCTCCTCCTCTCTGCTCTCCTCCTCTCCTCCTCTCCTCTCCCTCCTCTCCTCTCCCTCCTCTCCTGCTCTCCTCCTCTCCTCCTCTCCTGCTCTCCTCCCTCTCCTCTCTCTCCTCTCCTCTCTCCTCCTCTCCTCCTCTCTCTCCTCCTCTCCTCTCTCTCCCTCTCTCCCTCCTCTCTCCTCTCTCCTCCTCTCCCTCTCTCCTCCTCTCCTCTCTCCTCCTCTCTCCTCTCTCCTCTCCTTCCTCTCTCTCCTCCTCTCCTCTCCCTCTCTCCTCCTCTCCCTCTCCTCTCTCCTCTCTCTCCTCTCCTCTCCTTCTCTCCTACTCTCCTCCTCATCCTCCTCCCTTCTATCCTCCTCTCCTGCTCTCCTCCTCTCCTTCTCTCCTCCTCATCCTGCTCGCCTCCTCACCTGCTCTCCTCCTCTCTTCTCTCCTCCTCTCCTTCTCTCCTCTCTCCGACTCTCTTCTGCACTTCTTCTCCTCCTCCTCGTCCCTGCTGCTCCTTCTCATCCTTCACTCACCTACTCTCCTGCCTCTCCTTCTCTCCTCCTCTCCTGCTCTCCTTCTCTCCTGCTCTCCTTCTCTCCTACTCTCCTGCTCTCCTCCTCTCTCCTGCTCTCCTGCTCTCCTTCTCTCCTCCTCTCCTGCTCTCCTGCTCTCCTTCTCTCCTACTCTCCTGCTCTCCTCCTCTCCTCCTCTCCTTCTCTCCTCCTCTCCTGCTCTCCTCCTCTCCTGCTCTCCTCCTCTCCTTCTCTCCTCCTCTCCTGCTCTCCTCCTCTCCTTCTCTCCTCCTTTCCTGCTCTCCTCCTCTCCAATGCTATCTCGTTATTTCACTTTCATACATCACTCAAAATTATACAATATTTCAGCTAGTAGCAGTGGAAGCAGGCTCCAGAATCCAGAGTCCAGAGAACAGGGTCCAGAGAACAGGGTCCAGGGTCCAGAGTCCGATCTCGGTCTGATCTCGGTCTGATCTCGGTCTGATCTCGGTCTGATCTCGGTCTGAGGGGCTGTAAACCCAGGGCAGATAAGAGCCGACATGTTTATAATGATGAATCAAAGGCCAGGTGCAGGTCACAGGGCCCTCAGCAGCAGGGCCTCAGGGGAAACGACCGAGGCCGAAGTTTCTCAATGTAACCACAGCCTGCAGCGCTCACAGGTGGACCATGCTAACCCGCTAGCTCAATGACACTCAACAGGGAAGTGCTAAAGGTGAAGTTTTGCTCCAACTCGCTCAGGCTCCTATGGAAGGAGGAGAGGAAGAGAGGGGAGAGGAGGAGAAGGAGAGGAGGAAGAGGAGAGGAGAGGAGAGGAGAGTGAGAGAAGAGGAGAGAGAGGAGAGGAGAGGAGAGAGAGAGAAGAGGAGAGGAGAGAGGAGAGAGGAGAGAGAGGAGGGGAGAGGAGAGAGAGGAGAGAGAGGGAGAGGAGAGGAGGAGAGAGGAGAGAAGAGGAGAGAGAGGAGGGAGAGGAGAAGAGAGGAGAGGAGAGGAGAGGGGAGGAGAGAGAGGAGGGAGAGGAGAGAGAGGAGAGGAGAGGAGAGGGGGAGAGAGGAGAGGAGAGGCCGAGAGGAGGGGAGAGAGGAGAGAAGAGGGAGGAGAGAGGAGGGGAGGGAGAGAGGAGAGGGGGGGGAGAGGAGAGAAGAGGAGAGAAGAGGAAAGGAGAGAGAGGAGAGGAGAGGAGAGGGAGAGAGAGGAGAGAGAGGAGAGGAGAGGGAGTGAGAGAGGAGAGGAGAGGAGAGAGAGGAGGGAGAGGAGAGAGAGGAGAGGAGAGGAGAGGAGAGAGAGGAGAGGAGAGGAGAGGGGAGAGAGGAGAGGAGAGGAGAGGAGAGAGAGGAGAGGAGAGAAGATGAGAGGAGAGGAGAGGAGAGGAGAGAGAGGAGAGAAGAGGAGAGGAGAGGAGAGGAGAGGAGAGGAGAGGGAGGAGAGAGAGAAAGGAGACAGAAGGTAGAGAGAGAGAGAGGAGAGAGATGAGACTCCCCCATCACGAGTCCTGGTCCTGGTGCTCAGTCCTGCTGTAGACCTGCCCTAGACCTGCTTTAGACCTGCTTTAGTCCTGCTTTAGACCTGCTTTAGTCCTGCTTTAGACCTGCTTTTGTCCTGCTTTAGACCTGCTTTAGACCTGCTTTAGTCCTGCTGTAGGAACCTGCTTTAGTCCTGCTTTAGACCTGCTTTAGTCCCTGCTTTAGACCTGCTTTAGTCCTGCTTTTGTCCTGCTTTAGTCCTGCTTTAGACCTGCTTTAGTCCTGCTTTAGTCCTGCTTTAGTCCTGCTTCAGACCTGCTTTAGTCCTGCTTTAGTCCTGCTTTAGTCCTGCTTCCCGACCTGCTTTAGTC